AAGCTTTCTCCCAAAATGTTGAAAGACCTTGTTGCTTAATTAGTGCCAGTACAATAAGTATTCATATGGTGTTTTTTGTTCTGTAAGTGGGTGGGGATGTTTCCCAGGGTGTGGAAGTGAGCAAGTGAGAAGAGTTTTTGGTTTTTTTTTCTGCTGGTAACTATTCAGTAGTCTCTTTCCCATCACCTACCTCTTAAATTTCATCAGGAAAAATCTGAATTTTTTAAAAAATGAAAACTAATTTTACATTCTTTTGCCAATAACCACATTCCACTTCAAGGAGGGCTGCTCAACTATGCAGACTGAACATACTCGTGGAAAACCTAAGTGTGGCCTAAAACCAAGGCTCCTGATGGATTTCGGTGCCGGCGAAGGTGACATCTCTGGTTTTAAACTAGACCGACTTTCAGATCAAAGGGTGGGAGCTGCAGGCGGGCCATGGGAGTAGGCATGAAGTTGTGATGGTTGGAAGAAATCTGATTTACTGAATTGCTTGAGTGGAAAAATTTATTTTGAAACTTGAAATGAATCATCACAAACTCCATCAGGGAAGAAGTGCTTTGTAAAGCCTATCCAAAACCATGCAAAAATAAGCAAAGCAAAATTCTTGGAAGCTTTCTAAGGAATGAGCAACGCACTCACACCTTCTCAAAAATACTTCCCAACAATTATGTGGCCAAGTGGACGGCACTGATAGGTACCTAATACTCTCCCCATGGAAGTGAAGAGAGAATTTCTGGTAAAATTCACCATCTTTGTGACATATTCCACATAGTATGAAACATTAAAAGGAAGCTACTCAAGAGACCTTAGCCCCTAGTCAAGCAAAACTCCTTCGGGCTCCCAGTCTAGTGTCTGAAGGACAGGGGACTTGCGGGGAGAGTGAGGACGAACAGATGATGGGTTAGCTCAGGGTCCCCCATGTTTTCAAAGTGCCCCAGATTGCCTCAAATCGGTGCCAAGTTCCTATGCTTCTTTCGGGGTGGGGTGAATACATTCTTTGAGATGGCAATTCTAAGTGTAACAAGAACTCACTTACAGTTAGGACAGTAAATCAGCACACATAAACAAGAAATCCAATCAGCTGCCATATCCCAGTCTTCTTAAACTTCTAATCTTTCCTAATTTCCACCACTGACTTCTCCCCTCTCCTCAATAACCCCATGCTCTCTTGCCAAACTATGTGTTTGTCTCCATAACAGTCTTATCTATTTTATAGGCAAATTCCACCACGTAACTCTGACCTCAAAGCCTTCGCTGAAAAAAGGTCTCCATCTGGGATCTTACCATCCTCTACCTTCTTTGCCCCCTTTTCCTGACGCTCTTCTCCCCACTGCACCGCACCCCACTTCATGCTGTAGCTCTCTGACAACGGGTGCTGTTGCTGACCCAGGAGGAGATGGTAGAACTGTGTGGAGACATGTTTTGAGTTATAGTTGCTCCAGGAGACAGAGAGAGGAAGGGGAGGGTCCCCACGGCATTTCCTGCCCGGGCCAGGGGAGCTCGATGTCCTGCAAGGCTTATGAGAGGCTGAATGAAGTCTAGAGTCCAGGCCCCCCACTGGAAATACAGGTCACCCTTGAACAGCAAGGGTTTGAACTGGGTGGGTCTAGTTATATGTGGATTTTTTTCTTTTTTACTGTGTGTTGACCACCTCCAGGCAAGTCTCCGTCCATTACCATTTATTCCCTCAATTTTTTTTTCAATAAATACTGTAAATGCATTTTCTCTTCCTTATGCTTTTCTTAATTACATTCTTTTCTCTAGTTTACTGTATAATACAGTACATAACACATATAATATATAAAATAGGTGTTAATTGACTGTTTGTTACCAGTAAGGCTTCCAGTCAACAGTAGGTTATCAGTACATAAGTTTTGGGGGAATCAAAAGTGATATGTGGTTTTCTGACTGCACGAGGGGTCAGTGTACCCAACCCCTGTGTTGTTCAAGGGCTACCTGTGCTGCAGATGGCCTTCGTGGGTTCCTCAGCAGCACAGGTCCTGTCCCTGGCCAGGAATGCTTTCTCCCCACCTTTCCCCCCACCTCCCCTGGCCCACTTGATCAGGCCCTCCTCATCTTTCAAGGACTTAAATATCACTTCCTTGGAGAAGACTTTCCTGTGACCCAGTAGACTCTGTTGTGTCCCTGTATGATAAACTCTACCCACAGTTTGTAGACACAGCATGCCAGTCATAAAACAATTTTTCACATAATTCCTGATCATCAACTCTGACCTTATATGAGCCCCAAGAGGGCAAGACATGCTATGTTTATACCCATTGCACTCTCAGTGTCTGGCACATGATATATATGCCATATTTTGCTGAATAAATCAGTTCTTCTCAAAACATGTTTCCTCCTCAATGCACACATTGCCAACTCCTGGATTTAACCCTCCTTAAGCTCACCCCTGGAGTACCCAGCAATACAACTATTATCACCCACATTCACATGATAGATTCATTTTCCCAAATTGCTCTGATAATACTCTCCTCATTTAAATTCCCTATGGACTCTTTAATTCTTTAAATTAAGTGCCAATTTCTTACCCTCATATCCAAAGCCCTCTGCAATCTAGCTGTGCCTACTTCCTCAGACTTTTCATTATCTTCCACGCTTGAAGGGATGAGCTCCTTACAGTTATCCACAGCTGCCCTAACTCCTCCCTCCCCACTTTGACTCCTCCTTCCCTTCCTACAAGTCTCAATCCTACTTGCACTTCCCGGATAAGCCTAAATGTCATCTCTTCTAAGAAGCCATGAATAATTCCAAATGAAAGGTTATCTCTCTCTCAACCCTTTGAATCTGATAGCACTTTATCTGTATTTTACTTGAGACAGTTCTTTTCTATATTGTGCTGGGATTATCCACGTGAGAATCTATCTCCCTCATCAGACTACAAACACTTTGAAGGTCAGACCCACATCAGTCTGTATTCCTAACACCCTTAGAGTCTATCACAATGTCTTGGACATAAATATTACATGAATCAATAAGGTTAATGAGCAATGATGTAATCATTTTGAAATGCACTAATAGTGAGAATTTAGCAATTAATTCTAATATATTCAATTTGTTAGAGGAAGTCAACTAATGAACAAGAACACCAATGGCCTTCTTTTGTTCTATGCCAAATGAACATTATTTGCAATTTATTTCACCTTAAACTGTTTCACTCAATAGGTTATTATTTACAACACAACTGGAAAAAACCTCTAGCTGAAGCTTTAATAAATATAATCATCAGTGATGTTGAAGATGATAATAATAGAGACAAGAAAAAAAAATCACCCTATTGGCTGACTGCCAGACAAATTGCCAAATCTGAGGGATGCGAATAAAGGTGGCAGAAGGTAACTTGAAATTCACTCGATGACACATTAGGTAAATTAGTAACGGTCAGGACTCTATCCTGTTTTAAACATAGATCACGAGGCAAATGCATGGATTTATGTAATGAAATCTAGTGAACTATAGCATTTCCACCATGAACTACAAGCCACAATCTCATAGTACATAATCATAGCTCCAGGACTAGAAAACCATTGTCTCTCCTGCAGAGTGGGGACATATTAGTTCCTTCTGAAGCAGGTAAGTGAATGACCATCTTGTTACACTTCTCAGAATCCCAAGATAAGCTCTTTGGACTGAGGAACAGAGTATACTGTCTATATAATAAGGGTGGGGGTCTGGATATAGTACTTGTGGTCAAGCCACACTCTTTGCTGTCCTTTCCTAAGTACAAAAGGCTGGGCTTAGGGGTAAAAAAACAATGGCAAAAATTGTTCTTATGCTCATAGACATATCGCTCCCCATCGCCAGTCGGCCCTGACAAAATGATGGCTGCTTCTGCCACCACATCACCAGTGCTACTAAAACAAACCACATTCTACACTCTTACATTTGTAAGCCCTTACAAAACCATTTCAAGACAAATTAAATTCATTATGAGTAAAGATGAATCACAGGAAAGTTTTAGAGTTAAACAAAAATGATTCCACTAGAAAAGCCCTTTGGAGAGTGGGGCTAGACGCAGAAAATTTTATTTTCTGATCTAGAGAAGTAGGGACACTCAAAAGACAAGGAAGTCTGAGGAAATGGAAAGGATAGGTCACCGGGTACAATAAACTGGCAGTGCATGCATTTTGTCTGTCAGGATTTAATAGGTTAATATCAGTGAAGATGAATCATTTCTGTTTGAAGCACAAAACACATTGACACAGAAACAAAGGAGCTTGGAAACTTTATATTCTTTGGGTCTCTGAACAATCAAAGGCCTTGTCTAGTCACCATTTGGAGTAATTTTTCCCAGGGGAATTATTACAATTTGAGAGGGATGAAAGAGTAGCATTCTCATGATACATTTTTGTTTTCTGAGACTAAACGCTTTGTGTCTGTGAGAGGCGACATTTTGGATGTCTGAGAAGTGTGCCCAAGCACGGCCACGGTGACTTTTCTCAAACATCTAGCTGTAGGGAAGACTACAAGCTGTCAAGAGAGTCCTTAAACAAACTTTAAAAGTTTGTTTGAAAAGCATAGGTCAAAGAGAGGAGACTTTTTCAGAAAACTAGGTTAAGATTAAACTCTTACACAATTTGAATTATTCTGCTTGAGGTATGCGTAGCTTACAAAATGAAAGCTCAAGTGATTAACAGAAAATTTCAAACTCATGGACAAGAGGCATGGATGTTTCATTGCAGTACAGTGCTTTCCTTCAAGATCCTCGACTCCAACAGTTATTAAAAATCAGGCTTAGGATTCTTAGTCTTTAAACTCTCCAGGCAACTGGAAAGAAAATGGGTTTTCAGAGCCAGAGTGGATGAAACCTACAAGCTATAAACCTGTGACTAGCTCTCATTAGATTTTAGGTATGTTTTTCTTCTCAGATTTGTTCTTGTGATCTCTAGGTCTGCAGAACCGGGGAAAAATTGTGAACAACTGGCACCAGAGGGACTGCAAAAGCTACTTGCTGACAGTTGAAATCATGAAGCTGTTACCATGCTCCAGCGCTTTCATGGGAAACCAGAAGAGGATGAGGGAGTGGACCAAGGCGTTGATGCAGTGACCCCAGAAAACCTAAGGGAAAACAAAACGAGGGAGTCAGGAACTGCCCACACTCTCGACCTCCATGTAACTCAACAAACGCCTCATTGTGCAGGACGCCGGCAGTGTGCTGCACAGCCCCAGAAGGAGCATATTCTTCTTGAAACTAAAGCAAACAAACAAACAAAAAGAACCAAAACGATTTCCTTGTTTTTTATGCACAAATATGACTGGATGATCTCCAGATACCACTATTTAATACAAAGACCTAAATATATATTCACATGTTCATAGACCAATATACAATCTATCCACATCTGAAAAATGAATCATGAGCTGTTTTCTTTAGAATCCTAAGAAAGACACCAAAATTTTACAAAGGCATCAGAATCATTCAGAAAAAGGTTATTTGGTCAAATTTGTTAATAAGAGACTGAAACTGTGTGCTTTCTGAAAGCAGTAAAAACATTTAATATGTAAGTTCTTACCCACCATTCTCACTCTTTTGTTTTATTCCTTAAAATCCATCACATTCAACTTTTTAATTTTTAGAATTTTGGTTAATATCATGCACATTTAAAAATTCTCTTTATCTTAACATTTGAAAGGTCAAACAAAAGAATGCAAAGTTTAGTTTCTCCTAAATTATGGTTTCATAAATACATTTCAATCATGTTTTTAAACACTGAGATGATAGAACTACTAAATCCAGACTGAACTTACTTAAAAATCTACAAATTGATCTGGGAATTGTCATATGTTTGATCTTAGCTAGTGGAGGGACAACAGAAAATAATGAAAAATTATAAGACAACGGGATTTTCACATTTTAAATGTTGACTTCCCCCCTGACTTCTGTACTCCCCTTGCCTCCCCACCCGACCCCCTGATCTTCAAACACATCTCTGGTTGTTCTTAGCTCTACTGCCTTTGATGGATCTATTCTCTACTTATTTTGTACCCTACATAGACTTTGAATTCAAACTCTGTAAAAACAAATTCAATTTATGTAAATAATGCAGAATACATAGGCCATTGATAGATATTTCCAATTGATAGAATCACAGTCAACAAGGACCGATATAATTAATCATCCAAGCCTCCTGCGTACGGAACATACCGGAACCAAAAGAATCCCTTTCACTTTTTTTCTATTCTCGGACATACCTCCAAATGAGGTAGCTCTGAAGGAATGCTATCAGTAACACCTGGCTTAAAATGAAGTCTCCAGGCCTTGTTCTTTGACTGAGGACTTGACACTTCTCCCTCACTAAGCCCCAGTGGTGGCCTAAGCAAATCATGTATAGATACAACTAGCATCCAGAATTGCAACTGACCTGGGCAGTGGACCTCTGCGTAAACTCCCCAGTTTCCTCCTGCACAAAAACCTGTCAGGAACATGGCAATGCAGGCGAGTTCACTTCTGTGCCTCTCCCGCCAGGCACGGCACATTCTTCCCTTCTGGCCAGCGGCAGCTTCTGCTCTGCCGCTCTTAGCTGTGACTGGCAGGTGGGGCGAGGCCCCCTTTGCCGTCAGGACTGCCAGCCTCTCTAACACCTAACCCAGCGTCTGCTTGACTCTCGTCCAGATCGCCTATACCTTTTTTGTCTAGATGCATTTTCTTTTCTGATTTCCAGACTGAAAAATAATACCCATGACAGACTTAATTTCTGTGTTCACACCTGGCCAATTTTATTCACTAGCTAAAGTAACATTTTCCTTTACATGAAAAAGCAAGCAATGGCGGCAGGAGGGTCAGTCGTTAGGCATCTCCCGCCAGCCTCAGTGCAGGGCTTCATGGACGGCTAAGGGGTGTGTCTGATGGCTGATCCTAAAGGCCCTGGTGCCAGGGGTGCTGCTGGCCACACCAGGGTCAGGAGCACATATGGAGAAGGAAGGAATCAACACAGAAGAACTGAAAGAAGGACCACATGTAACATGGCAACTTCCTTTCTGATGTGGCACCTCAAATTCATTGGATTTGCTCTATTGGGAGAAAGCCCCTGGCCGTACCCCATTTAAATACATTCTCTAAAGCTTCAACCATCTCACAGGCAGATAACAAGAGCGGGTAGACAAAAAGTCATCACCTTTTTCAGGTGACAACTCTGTCATAACATTCTGTTTACCTTTGTGTTGAAGCCTTCAGCATTCTGGGTGATTTTGTAGAGCTGCGGGAACCTGAGCATGCTCTCCTGAGTGCAAGACCTCTCGAAGATTCCCAGAGTGAAGGGTGGCAGTGCAGTGAAAATCTGTGTGGAGAACAGTGAGCCATTAATGGAGGCCTTTCCGACTCACATGGCTCAAGGGGTTCAGTTCTATAGAATGATGACTTAACTCTCAGTCAAGCCCAAACCTGAGCGCCAGTGATTCACGACTCCCCAGACACCCTCCAAACAAGGATAATAAACGATAGACCATTTTTAACTGTTACTTCATCAGTATAAAATGAATACATGGGATACTCAATCAACAATACATTTGATTAGTCAAGAAATATTGTTAATGAACAGCTACCTTTCTTGGTGAAATGAGTGGTGACTGAGAATCGCACCCTCCTGAGCTTTGTGAAGTGCTGCTGTGTTTGCTGCTTGTGCCGGCAGAAGCACAGTTTTACAACTTCCCATCCTGACTTTATGCTCCAATTTCAGGAAGCACAATGCACTTCATTTATTCATGTGACAGACGTTTATTGGGGATGAATTATGGGCCAGATAGGGTGATAAGCCCCAGGAATACAGAGATGTAAAAACAGAAGGAAAAAGAAGGAAAAGAAGCAGGTTCCTGACCTCCAGGAGCTCCGTCTACTGTAGAGGTGGAGACAGGGCAGCTGGCAACAGGCAAATAAATAAACATATAAAACACAGTGCTCTGCAAAATTACTCATGGGGAAGGCTGGGGACAGAGAAGGGAAAGTCAAGAAAGAATTGTTGGCCCAAAGAGCATCTGAACTGTGAGGCACTGTACCTGTGGGACTTGGCAGGATGTGGGTAAGAGGGGGGCAGAAGGAAGCCTTCTCATAAAACGATACCCCCACAAAGCTTCGAGGCATGAATGCACATGGCACATTTGGGGGAGACGTCTAGGACACCCAGGATGGTGGCTGGCTGCGGACTCAGTGCAAGACAAGGCTTGGATGGTGACAGAACAACCTCCTGTGCCCGCAAGTTCTTGGGCAGGCAGTGCTTTCTAAGACTTTCGCCTGTGTGCTCTAGAGAGGAGTGAAGTGCTCATGTATGTGTTTCAGAGGGAGGAAGCCAGATGCTGAAGAAGAAGCTTGGAATAAACACATCATTTCAGGCCAGGAGGTGCGGCAGCCCTGTGGGTCATTCTCCTCTTGGTTCTGGGCAAATGGGTCACAGAGACTGGCTGGGTCACTCACTTCTTAGTGTCAGCATCAAGCAAATCCATACCCACAAACCCAGCAAATTCTCCAGCCCATGGGAACTGGGTGCTGTCTCTAAGGGAACTCTGAATGCATGCCAGCTACGGGGAGCCTGGGAAATAAGCTTCTCCCCGGTCTGTTGGGAGAAAGCCACGGGCAATGTGGTGGAGGAAGACCGACACAACCCGCAGGCTCCCTCCCTCTCCCGGGAGCAGAAAGAGAAGCAGCCCTGGGATTTCAGTGCTCTGCAGATTTCCAGAAGAAAAAGATCAAGAGTGGTTGCCCTCATTCCCCTCACAATAACAGAGTTATCTGTTTAATGACTAGATGCAGGCGCTGGGAACAAACATCTCAGAAGCCCTGCACACTCTGAGTACATAAACTCGCCCTTACTGTGGCGCGTACTTGTCTGCTGTTAACACTGCCATCTTATATTTTCTTTTCCCTTTTCACTTGCCTGTCTCCTTCTGCCCACTTCAAATCCTCCCCCACACTTCACCACAAGGCTACCAGCCTAGGGGGCCTTCTGGCATTTTTCACCCTGCTTACTGCATACTTCACACACATATATACTGTTGAGGAGTCATTATTTGTTTTACAGAAATAAGACATTACGCACATTTTTCTTTATAACATTTTTCTCACTAAATAATACATCACGGGAAGCCCTCTGAGTCCCCTGGGTCTGACGCTAATGCAGCGTTTCCCTGCTCACGTAATAATTCATAGCATGGATGCGCCATAATTTTTCAGCCCTGCATTCATTTTTGTTTCCAGGTCTTTGTTCTCACAAGCATTATGTAACAAACATCTATAATATAGAATACCATTTATGCTTTGCCTTTTATTTCTATGGAGTGGATTCCCAAAAGCGGGGGTTGCTTGGTAAGAAGATATGAGTATGTTTAATTTTACAAGATTCTGTTCAGTTGCCTTTTAAAAAGGTTCCAATCAGTTACATGTTTTTCCTTCCCAAAGGACAATGGTATTCTTTTCCCTGCTTCCTATCAGCAATGGGTGTTATGTTATATTTCATATTCTCTAGTTTAGAAAACTAAAGATATTAACTCTTTCTTTAAAAAATTTACATTTCCCCAACTACCAGTAATTTTGAGAATGTTTCCATATATTTGTGGACCATTTAGATTTGGAGTCCTGTGAAATGTCTAGTCAAGTCTTTTGTACATTTTTACATTCATATTTTATCACCTTTTTTAAGAGTTCTTTGAATATAACAGATATCAACTCTGTCTTTATGTTATAGAAAATTTTAACTAAATATATTCGTTGCCTACTTGCTTTCTTTATGGCTTCTTTTGCCATATCAAAGCTTTTAGTTTTTATATGGTCAAGAATAGCTTCAGAGTGTCTGACTGTGTTATGGAAGTTTTCAGAAATTTTTTCAGAATTCTTACAGTTATATTTTTCACATTTAAGTCTTAATATATCTGGAATTTATTTACTACATGGTTTAAGATTGAAGCCCAATTTTCTTTTACTTTTCCAAATAAAGAACTAGTTGCGAGAACACAATTAATCCAAACTTTCCCACTGAACTGAAATACCAACTTATATACATTTATGAAATTCTCACATTTTATTATAGACCTAGGATCTAGAACTGGGATCTTGTTCTAGATTCTCTGGCTTATTTGTTTAGTTCTGTGTTAAAATCACATTGATTTGTTTACAGTGGCTTTGTAGTATAGTCTAATCTTAGTATAGTATCTTAGCAAAGATAAGTCTACCTTTATGATTTCCATTTTTGGATATGCTTTGCATATTTATTCTCAGGTAGTTGTTAATTCCACTTATACTTTAATATCATTTTATGTAACTCCCCCTCTTTCACCCTCAAACAGCCACCTATTGTGAATTTATTTGGAATCACATAAAAATTTATATATTAATTTTAGAGGAGCTGATTCTTTTATGATACTAAGTCTTCTCATATAAGGATATATTTCCATTTATTCAAATCTTGTTTCGTACACTTCAAAAAATTTTTGGTTTTTTCCATATAAGTACTATCAATATTGTTCCTAGGCAAAGTATAATTTTAATTGCTATTTTGAAAGAATTATTACTTCCTTTGCATTTCTAAGTGCTCACTGCTGGAGTGAAAAAAAAAGCTATTGATTTTTATACATTTGTAATGGATCTGGTCACCCTAATGAGTTCTCTAATAATTCCACTATTTCTTTACTAGCTATTTTTGGGATTTCTATACATACAATCATATATGAACATATTGGCATGGCCATTTTTTGTGTATGCCTATTTGCATAAGCACAGAAATAGTTCATCTTTTTTTCTAGTATTTTCAATAGTTATTTAATTTTCTCATCAGTTGATGAAAATCTCAAAACAGTGCTGAATTATATAGTGAAGGCAGGAATCTCTGACTAATTTCTTATTTTAAATAAAACAGTTTTAGAATTTTACCATTTATGACAAATGGTATTTTATAAAGAATCTGTATTGTTATTTGGCTTCTTTCTTTCTTAATTTACTTAGAGTTCTTATCTTGGAAATGACAGCTGAACTGCCTCAAATGCTTTTGCAGCATCTAACTGATGGGATCACATTTTTCTTCTTTATTTTGTTGTTATAGTGATACTTATAAATTAAAAAAAAATTTTTGAACCTCTTGTAAAATTTATTTCAATCTCAGTTGGTCAAATATTTCATTTGGTTGATACACTCTTGAACTCTAATTGCTGATGTTTTATTTAGAATTTTTATATTCATGTTTTTAAGTGAGGCTGGCTAACAGTTTGTTATGTTGGCTTGATAAAATTAAATAGTATAAATTTTCTGAAACAGTTTAAAAACACAGTTATCTCTTCATTAAAAAATAGATAAAATTTAGCTGAAATCTATCTGATAATTGTAGCTTTTGTCACTGGTGGCCTCTTTACTCTCATTCCACCCATAAAATAAAATGATGTAGAAGTCTGAGATGATAATAGAGTATAATGAGAATCTAATGAGATAGCACTCATTCATGACTTGTGTTTTGAAAGATGTGTTTTAAGTCAGTTTTAATGCTGTCTTATCTGCTAGCAGAGTTGAACTGAGAAGCAGTGATGTGCTATTTGGCTTCAGGAATCAAACAAAGGATATTTAGAAGAAGAAGAAGCAGGAGAAATACTGCTTGAAGAAAATGAGAGGGAGAACCCAGTACAGAAGATGTGTCACTAGCAAATAGTATACATGTCACAAACTGTCTCTTGCACTGGGTTTTTGTGGAGTAGAAAAAGGTTGCTGAATAGTACATTATTGGAAAAGTAAAATTGAAATATGGGCTAAGGTGGATTAGATAAGAATACTGTATGCACGTTAAATTTTCAGATTTTGGTCATTACACTGTGGTTATGTAAGAGAATGAGCTTAGTAACTATGCAGTAAGGTATTAAGCAGTAAGATGAATCATGTCTTAAGTTATTGGGTTGGCCAAAAAGTTCATTTTTTTTGTAAGATGGAGCTTTAACTTTATTCAAAACAGTTTTCTTGGACTATATTGTGACAGCTGTCATATTAGTGTCCATTTAAAAAAACTTATGAAAATTGGTGAATTTTGTGTAGCCATTTTAATATTGAAGATGGAAGAAAATCCGCAACATTTTCAGCATATCGTGCTTTATTATTTCATGAAAGATAAAAATGCAACTGAAATGCAAGAAAGGATTTGTGCAGTGTATGGAGAAGGTGCTGTGACTGATTCAACATGTCAAAAGTGGTGTGTGGAGTTTCGTGCTGGAGATTTCTCATTGGACAATGCTCCACAATCTGGTAGACCAGGTGAAGTTGATAGCGATCAAACTGAGACATTAATTGAGAACAATCAATGTTCTACTACTCAGAGATAGCCAACATACTCAAAATATCCAAATCAATACAGTGGTCGGTGAAAATGAAAACTGTATCTTTTATTTTACAGAAAAAACTAAAAGGACTTTTTGGGCCAACATGATAGCTTCAACTGCTTTAGAAAGAAATGTGTTTGCACGGGGGGTTGGGGGTGGCGGCGGTGCACGCATACCTATGGGCAAACCTCTGTGTTCTCAAAGGGTTTGGTCTCCCAGCATGATTGAGCCTGGAGGTCAGTGACCCTCCTTTCTGATCCCACTTCACAGATTCGAGACATCCCATGTCGCTCCCCATTTTCTGATGCCACTCCCTGGCAGAACATTCCAACAACTGTGCTGTGGGCTCCATAGTAGTTTAGGGCCGTTTCACCTTGACATTCACTTCTCTGCTGCAATATTCTCTTCTCTATAGTATGGAGACCCAAAGTAGATAAAAAATATTCCCAGCCCCAGGGATCAGAGGACTTTATGAGTCTTAAACTTTCATGTGCATGACATCACTAGGAAATTGCCTTTACAGTGCAGTATGTCTGAGAAACTGTTAAGTCAGGGAGGAGATCAGGAATCTGCATCTTGAACCACACCCTGGTTATCCTCATGCAAGTGGTCTGTGGACCATATTTTGGCCAATGCCATCCTATAGCCTATCAGCCTCTTATGAATAGTAGGCACACAATTAAGTTTGTTGAATTAATTTGAATCGCCCAGGATTGTATGGAACTAAAAAAAGAATCTAGTTCTCATGCCCTGACTGTGAAAATAGGGCCAAAATCCATTTGTCATGTAATCAGGTGACATGCATTATAGTTCTGGTTTTAGCTCTAAATCATAGTCTCCTAGGTCTCAGTCTCCTATTTCTAAATACATATGTAGGCATGGGTTTGGCCCTTTCTAGCACTAAATCACTATGGAGCTGTCAGCATATTTCCCAATAAATGGTCACATAATTTTAACCTGCTCAAAACAGTTTTAAGTTTTACAAAGTTAACAATCTGTCCAAAGGGAGGTCGTTGAGCCCCTATCCATGTGATAGGTGGCTGGAGCAGCTTTTCTAGCACAGGTGATAAATGAACATCAATTCAGCCCTGTTCTCACCACCTGTCACCTTTGTCTTTGAGGGTCTAAGTATTAGCAACAAAGGTGTTCATGCACTTTGTAGTCAGTAACAGTTACTGACCAATGCTCTTTCACTCAAGAACTGAACTCAGTCTCGGTGATATCTTAGTCTACACATCTGACTCTCTTAACCTGTAAGCTATACAGAACTGGGAAGCCTGCAGTATACAGTATTTTATATCCAGTGTCTAGTATAGTGGCCACTCAAAAAAAAAAAAAGAAAAAGAAAAAAGAAAACAGGGTTGAGTGCATGGGTGACTTGACTCTCTGGCCACAAATGTATATTCAAGCTGTAAATATTTATAGCACCACAATTTATGTTATTGTACGCCTGGTAACTTCCATCTACAGCTATCTATGATGACTGCTTCCGACTGGAAACTCCCACGAAGCAGAGAATGTCAGAGTTAGTCTCCAAAGCAAGTGTGAAAGTGCAACCCAAAACAGCTGCCATGTTGGCGTGTCTGAAGCACTTAGCACAAGCCCTTCAGTTCTCCTTGCCAGTGGAACACAAAGCTAGGTAGCTACTTCATCATTTTATCTTATAGTTTATATTTATTTCCAGCTTTTGCATTCACTGCAGTCAAGTAATTTAAAAACAACTTCAAACTCATTTAAAAAAGCCAAATAAACTGATTACCATTTACCACAGGAGCTGGAAGTCAGAATTCATTATTTTAGCTCTAACTGTGAAAGTAAACATTCTTCCTCAAGGACAGATATTCTTTTAAGAGGGACAAAAAGAACACCAGATCACATACTGTATGTTTGTATATCTACGTTTGAGAATTCAGAAATAAAATTACAAAGTAGAATGAGTTTAGATGTAGTTCAGAAATTTTACTTGAGCTAAAAACATGAAAATTTTGCACAGGCATTTAGTAAGGAGGTAACAAGGGTCTATTATCAAGATATATGGGTTAATAATTTCATGGGGTTATTCAAGAATGATCTGCTATGATTGAAACCATGTGTGGAGAGTTTGGGCTTCTGCAGGATGTGTCGCAGCAACAAAGGCCCTAAAGATGTATTTGTGCTGCCTGCTATGTATACAGATGATGGACTTAGATACACTTCCCAGACATAAACAGTGCAGGAATGTCACTGAAGTTCTGTGTGCTATCAGACAGAGATGGAGAATGCTTACCACATTGTACAAGCCGATGCACCAACGTTCAAATAAAATCTGCCCAGAAAATCCATTTACAAAGGCGAACCAAAGCTGAAAGAGAAGAAAGTTCATGAAGTTTTATATCAATATTGACCTAAATGTTTCCATTTGCTGAAGAAGTAGCAGGAATGAGGACCACCAGCTGGACACAGCTGTTAGGGATAAAAAGCCACAGGACCATAGCAGTTCTTCCATAAAATATAAATTCCCACTATAACATATACCAATATTTTAAGAAAATTTATTTTTAAGGCATACAATGATTTTAAGTGGTAATATGTACATATTAGTAGAAAAGCAATTCATATTTAACGCATAACTACTATGTTTTGTGTCTACACTTTTTCATTGGCTGCAACAGTCTCAACTTCATGTTCTTTTCCCCCATACAGCTGATTTGATAAATATAATTTACCTTTGTAGGGCTTCCAAATAGATAAAAAATAAACTAAAAAAAAACAAGAACTCTTCTACTGGTCACATGTGCTCTCAGTTCATAAAAAGGCAACCCCTCCGTAATGGAGTGTCCGCCACCACAGCAGAGGTGGCAGCACATGCATGAAAGAACCACGCTGCAATCATCTTTTGCAGTAACACGGCTGTATAAATAAATAGGATGTAGGTGATTATTCATACCTTCAAGTAGTCTATAATTCTAATTGATTAGGCAAGACTGACATAAAAAACTACTACAGAGCAAAGTGTGTCTGGGACATGCACGACAAGTGAATAAAACTATTTAAGAAAGGAACGATCACCCAGCTATAATTTGGAGAACACGTGGAGGTGGTGAGAGTGGGGTAGACCAAGGGTGAGCCCTCATGTTGAGGGATGGGAACCTGCCTCAGAAGGGAGTGAAAACAGAAATACGAAATGTTGCTATTTAATTCAGCTAAATTGATATGATACAACAGGATTCCAGGGATTTGGGGCAGACTTCAACATATTCCATGCTAATCACAAAATCAGATTTTAGGGTGTACAACTGTGACAGACTGAATCTGTTACCATGGCAGGACAATGGTCACACAGATCAGCTGCCCACTACCTGCCCCCACGCAGTAATTTGAGTTGAGATCAACTCTGCTACTAAAATTTTACTGAATAAGATTTTTAAAGATCAGTTTCTAGACTCCACCAGACTATGTTCCTTGAGACAGGAACTGTTCCTTACCCTGTGCAATGTACCCAGGCTGACACTTTGTACAAACAGGGACCCACTGCGTTCCAGTGGGATCAAATGGACAATCTCAATCTGATTGACAGATGAAGTTTTCTTAAGAACAGTTTTCATCATCTCATTTTCTAGTTCAAAAAACTACTAGGGATCTCTTCTAAACCTAAAATAAGCTTGCTGCCCTCTAAAAATCCTTCCACATTCCTATTCACTCTTAGTTTCAACTATCTCCCACGAGGTCATTGTAAGGCCTGGCTACTCTCTGTGAATAATACTGGTAGAGAACTAAGAATCAGAAGTTTGTGCTGTGCTCTCTACTCCACATATTTTTACAACACCTATTCTAATATTAGCCATTTCTAAAGTGACAGTTTCAATCACACTGTATCCCTACCACTCAAGGCCTAGCAAACAACACTTCAACCAAAATTTTAGTACAGTGAGAGCCTGGATCCACACCAGATTCAAACATATTTTTACATTGTTTCAAAGGTTTTAACCTAATTCCTAATTTCCAAATATTGTGGCATACGAGGTCTGTCTGAAGGTATCCAACCATGTAATATGAAAAATAGAGAAATTTATTGAAGAAGATACAATTGTTCATAGGTCAATGACACCCTAGTCGCCTTCAATGTAGGCACCTTGGGACTTCATTCAGTTCTCCCAGTTACTATCAGTTGTCCCATTGTACTTTCCTGAATCTCAGTGATGGTCTGAAATCTCTTCCCTTTCAAAGGTGATTTTAGTTTTGGGAAAAGCCAGGAGTCACAGGGCACCAAATCTGGGAAGCAGAGAAACTGAGTCCCCTGGGTAATTTGATGTGTCACCAAAAAACTCTGCATGAGATGTGATGCATGAGCAGGCGCACTGTTGTGACGAAGCTGCCAACCACCAAGCTGCCCATAGCTGTGGCCTTTGGAATCACCTGAAAAATTTCTGAACAGGAATGTTCAAGCTTAATGCAAAGTTGGATACAGATTCGTTGCTCTACTCAGTCATTTTGAATGCAACAGCCACACAGTATGCATTCTCACTCAAGGGCATCTCCTGCCCCCACTGACTAGTACAATGAAGTTGTCATTGTTCACACATGCTCATTCCAGTCCACTCTCCTTGGCTGCCAGGTTCCATCAATATCGTGCAAACCATTTTCATTATATTAACAATGGTTGGACTTTTTGCAGACAGACCTCGCACATCTAATATTTTATTCAAACACCTGAGCAAACATTGGCAAATACTTAATAAACACTATTTTATTGCTTAATTCAGTTAATTTATTGTGTTTTGTTGAAGGTAACCTGGGGAAATAGCTATTGCCATCCCCAGTCATTGTCTACACATATGTTTAATGTATTTTTCCTTCGATCCAGTGATTCAAGATTTAGGGACATACTCTAAATTATATCTTATAGTTATAATCACATAGTATTCAACATGAAAATACAAGGGAGTTTACCGTAGCATTATTTGAAAGATAAAACATTAGGGCCTGTATTTACACTGATAGCTGGTTAAATGAATTATGGTTCACCCATAACAATAAAACACTACACAGACATCATAGAGTAGTATAAATCTGTAAGCACTGTAATATAAAAATATCACAGATATATTGTTAAAATGAAAAATGTCAAGGTATATGTTGAATAGTCATAATTGCACAGAATGAATGATGCACTTCCAACTTTTTAGAAGACATAAGATATTGTTAATATTAGTTATCTTTAGGTAGTAGAAATGTTCTCTAGGTGCTATAATGGAGACTAACTTAGACCTCTTCCATTGTTCTGATCTTTATTGTATGATAAAAACAATCAGCAAAGTGGGAGTAGAGGGAGCATACCTCAACATAATAAAGGCCATATATGAGAAAACTATAGCCAACATCATACTCAATAGGTAAAATATAAAAGCTTTCCCATGAAAATCAGGAACAAGAAAAGGGTGGTCCACTTTCACCACTTTTACTTAACATAGTATTGGAAGTTCTAGCCACAGCAATTAGACAAGAAAAATAAATAAAAGGCATCCAAACTGGAAAGGAGGAAGTAAAACTGTCGTTGTTTGGAGACAACATCATAGCATACGTAGAAAACCCTATAGATTCCACCAAAAAACTACTCAACCTAATATGTGAGTTTGGCAAAACAGTGGGGTACAAAGTCAATATTCAGAAATTGAAAGCATTTTAGTGCACCAACAATGAAATATCAGAAACAGAAATCAGGAAAAAATCTCATTTACTATAGCAACAAGAAAAATAAACTACCTTGGAATAAACCTAACCAAGAAGGTAAAAGACCTGTACTCAGAAGACTATATAACACTGAAGAAATAAATTAAGAAAGATACAAATAAATGGAATCATATACTGTGTTCATGGATTGGAAGAATTAACATCATCAAAGTGTCCATACCACCCAAAGCAATTGATAGATTCAATGCAAATCCCTATTAAAATGCAGTGATATATTTCACAGATATAGAACAAGTATTTCAAAAATTTATATGGAACCACAAATAACCCCTAATAGCCTCAGTAATATCCAGAAAGAAGAACAAAGTAGGAGGGATCACAGTACCTGATATCAAACTATATTACAAGGCCACTGTAATTAAAACAGTATGGTGCTGGCATAAGAACAGACACATAGATCAATGGAGTGGAGAAGAGAGCCCAGGAATAAACCCATGTCTCTATGGTCAATTAATATTTGACCAGTGGGGAAGGAGGATAAAATAGAGCAAAAATAGCCTGTTCAACAAATGGTGTTGGGAGATGTAGACAGCCACATGCAAAAAAAAAAAAAAAAATTCACCACCAACTTACACCATACACAAAAATAAACTCAAGATGGATAACAGACTTAAATATAAGTTGCTACACCATAAAAATTGAGAGGAGATCAAAGGCAGGAAAATCTTAGATATTCTATGCAGCAATATTTTCACCAGTACATCCCCTACAGGAAGGGGCATAAAGGAAAGAATAAACAAATGAGATTACATAAAATTGAAAAGCTTCTGCATGGCTAAAGAGAACATCAACAAAATGAGAAAGGAACCAACCTTATGGGAAAATATATTTGCCAATGCTACCTCAGACAAGGGTTGGATCTCCAAAATATATAAAGAACTCACATGACTCCACACCAGGAAGACAAACAATCCAATTAAAAAATGGCAAAGGACCTGAACAGACACTTCTCCAAGGAGGACATACAGAGGGCTCAGAGACATATAAAAGGATGCCCAACATCACAAGCCATCAGAGAGATGCAAATTAAAACCACAATGAGATACCACTCCACACTGGTCAGAATGGCCATCATAAACAAACAATAAGTGCTGGCAAGATTGTGGAGAAAAAGGAACCCTAGTGCACTGTTGGTGGGATTGCAGACAGATGCAGCCACTGTGGAAAACAGTATGGAAGTTCCTCAAAAAACTAAGACTGGTACTGCCTTTTGAGCCAGCAATTCCACTGCTGGGATTACATCCTAAAAATCCTGAAACACAAGTTCAAAAGAACCTATGCACCCCAGTGTTCAAGGAGGCACAATTTACAACAGCCAAGTGCTGGAAACAACCTATATGCCCATCAGTAGATGAGTGGATCAAAAAATGGTGGTATATTTACACAATGGAATACTATGCAGCAGAAGGAAAGAAAGAACTCCTATCCTTCACAGCAGCATGGATGGAACTGGAGAGCATTATGCTAAATGAAATAAGTCAGGCAGTGAAAGACAAGTACCATATGATCTCACCTATAAGTGGAATCTAATCAACAAAACAAACAAGCAAGTAAAATATAACCAGAGACATTTAAATAAATATCAAACTGATAGTAACCAGAGGGGAGGAC